GTACTTAAGTACTTTAAAATGCATGTACTTCTGAATACTTAAGTATTTTCAAAAGTAAGTACTTTAGTACTTTTACTTGAGTAGATTTTTGACTGAGTAACTTTTACTTGTAGTGGAGTAGATTTGACCATGAGTATCAATACTTTTACTCAAGTACTAGAGTTGAGTACTTTGTCCACCACTGACTACTAGTCTTGACAAGGTACCAGAAACAGTCATGAAAAAGTTTTAAAAAATACAAGTACACACTCACACACTTTGCCTTTTGAGCGGCAGGTTGAACCTATAATGTTTTTTCATTAATAAGACAAAATTATCTTGTACTTACAGAATATTATTCCAACCACAATGACTCCGATGATCCCCATCATGATCATCATCTGGAACAGAGAAACAAGTAATTTAGTTTAGTGAATACAAACAGGATAAAAGGTAATCTGAACAACAGCAACAATTGAAATTGTTTGCATTTGTTGTAGTTTTAATTAATTCCTTTAGTTTTCAGTGAAACTTTAATGTCTTTTGTCCATTTTCACTAAAGCATCATCATGCCTGCACAGCAGCTCATCACAAAACTGAATTATTTTACTTGTATTTTTTCTTATCTGTGCAGCACAAAAAACACTAAGAGGCTCAAACTCGTGTCTTATTAGTTATTTTTTCTCCATCCATGAATAAGCCCACCTTGCAGTTTTTCCACCAGTACTTATTTTTTAGCTTGGCTGCGCAGCTTTCAAACTGGGAGGCTCCGGCCTGCAGAGCGTCCGCTCTGTCATCCAGCTCTGAAAGCTTCTGGTCCCTTTCCAAAACTTTGTCCACATTCACCCGCATGATGTCCACCACCTGGAAGAAACAATGATGAGAGTGCATTTGGCAAAGGAGGAGGAAGAGGAGGAGGAGGAGCAAGACTAAAGGAACCATGGAGAAAAGAGAATGACATCTGTGTGTTTTACAGACTAATATTTGACACATTATTATTAAGTGCTACATACTGAAAGAACCTGTATGTTTGATGCTCCTGAATCAAGAAAAAATAGCTTTATTACAATCAGAAAATGTAAAACTCACTTCCTCTACTTGGGCCTGTGTCTGCTGTAGCCTGCGGTTACTGGAGGTGTTGGGTGGGCCGGCAGGTGGGCCGGCTGGGGCTCCATCTGCACCGGGGGCACCTGGAGCACCTGGAGCTGCAGCTGGTGGGGCAGCATCAGGGGCAGACCTGAAAAAAATAAAAATAAATTAAAAAATCGTTTGATGATGAATAATAGAGAAGAGATGAAGATTTTATGTTCTCATAACCGACGGATGTTTGAATCCATCAGCGAAGCAGCAAAGAAAAACCAACACGCTGTGACCGTGTTAAGTCTTCAGACATGCAGTGACATTAAAAATTAATAAAGTTCAGGGGAAAGTCATGCATYAATAAAAACTCAGACAAATGTTTTATTTTTGTGTCAGAATCTGGAAAAAATAATCAGTTTTTAAGTTGTGGCTCCTGGTTTACAGAAACATTTCTCTGTGTGAAACGTTGGGTTTAAACTGGGTAAATGAAAAATGAAAAAAATGACATGATGACATGTTCAAAAAAAGCAGAGTAATGTCTTATATAGAGAGATTTAATGTTAAAGTCTTATATAGAGATTTAATGTTAATGTCTTATATAGAGAGATTT